ATAAAGGCAGAGAGACACAGAGAGAAAGGTCTTCCATCCACTGGTTCACTCCCCAAATGGACCCAACAGCTGGAGCTGTGCCAATCCGATGCCAGAAGCCAGGTGCCTCCCCTGAGTCTCCCACACAGGTGCAGGGGCCCAAGCAGCTGGGCTGTCTTCTACTGCTTTCCCAGGCCATAGCAGAGAGCTGGATTGGAAATGCAGAAGCCGCATGGGATGCTGGCACTGCAGGAGGTGGCTTTTACCCGCTGCGCCACAGTGCCGGGCCCTCCACTTTCCCTGGCTCTGTTGGTTTAGACGTTCAGCGGGGTTTCAGTCCCTTCTGGATGGAGGCCCGTTTGTGGAAGGGGCAAGCCGGGCAGTGCGGACTCTCCGCACATCCAGCCTCATTCTTGGGAACAGGGTCATCGTCTCTTGGCTGGCCACGAGGGCTGTTCCAGAGGCTTCGACAGGGCGTTTCCTGACCAGGAGAGGGACAGCCTGGTTCTCCACTGGGCTGAGAAATGGGATGCCCTTCCCCGCTTCATGCTGGAGAGCCAGGCGTGGTGGGACACAGCCCACCGGTGCAGGGATTATTTTGGTTGTTATCTTTGATTTGCCAAAGAAATGATGACACAGGGGCCTGGACCTCGCTCAGGAGCCAAACGCTTGTGAGCGACCCGAGAGGGGGTGACGTCCCTGTGGCATTCTCAGTGTGTACGGAGTGCTCTGGGCTGCCAGCTCTGTCTGTGTCCCGGCATCTGAAGACGTTTAGAGCTCCTGTCCCGCAGTGAGCGCCCTGGGAGCCGGGTGTTTGGGAAGGGCCAGAGGCAGTCTCCTCTCACCAGCTCCAAGTGCAGCTTCCCTCCAGCTCACTTGCCTCCCGGTCCGGGCTGCAGACTGCCAGGCCTTTGGCCCACACCAGTGCTCTGACATGCTGTGTTGGGCCTGCTAGCTTCTCTCAGTCTGTACTGGTTGCCAACACTTAAAGATGAGGGGATCTCACATGCTATCTAGATTCCTGGATTTTTCACATGCTATTTAGATTTCTGGATTCTCTTGAAAAATTGGAAGATTTGGCCTGCATCCCCACAGTGGGCCGAGCACCAGTGTGGGCCAGGCAGTTCCGCACTGTTCCCACCTCTTCCTGGGGGGCCTGTCACGTGGCCAAGTCAGTGGCCATCTGCCATCCAGCGGCACCTCAGCAAGGAGGCTGGACGGTCTTGTAGTGTCTGCCTCGGATCCTGGCTTCTCCCTCCCAAGAGTGTGGTCTCAGGCCAATCACTTAATCTCGAGGTGCCTCGACCGTCTCATCTGTGTGCTGGAGAGCATGCAAAAGCCGACCTCGTGGGCTCATGAGTGGAGTGGATGAGAGGAGATGAGGATTTGTCACCGCCCTTGTTATTCCTTTGCCGCCGGCCTGGTCTCTGTGAGCCCTGAGTGCAGACGGAGCCCTGCGCCCAAGGAGCAGGTGTCCCCCTCCCCTAATCGGCGGCGTCTCGGTGCCTGGCGCTTGGTGGATGTGTCCAGTGAGTGTGATGAGTGACTTAGGAGCCTGCAAAGGACCAGGGAGGCAATGTACAGAGAGGTTTGGGGCAGAGGCTTGGCCTACTCCGAGTCCGAGACCCCTGCCCTGGGTGATTCTCTGGCCTCTGTGTGCCTCAGTTTCTTCAGCTGTAAAATGGGGATGATTACAGTGTCTGCCACTGGGAAAGACGCAGTGGGAAAGGACCAGGTGAGAGGCCTGGTCTGCAGGGGGTGGTCCTCGGCAGGGAGTCGGCGTCGGCCTTGACCTCTACTCCTGCCTTTGGCTGTAAACTCCCGGTGCTTTTCTTCCCACCCTCCCTCCGTCAGCTCCCTCTCCTCGCACTGTCCCTGTCCTCTGCGTCCCGAGTGCCACACAGGAGACGGCAGGAGTGGAGACACTCCACTGTGGGTTACCTGCTGACTGCGCTCCATTAGTTGAGCACTAACAGGGATGCCTGGCCGGGGCAAAGGGGAAAGGCCAGAGGTCAGGTAGACCCCAGCTCTGTCTTCGATGTTCTCAGCTCTGCTGTCCTCTACTTTGGCCTTAGGCTGGCTCCCGTAACGGTCAAAAAGAGGGTCCTAAAGCCTCAGCCTGGCTCACCCGCCTCTCCCTGAACCAGTCATGGGTTTGTGCCGATTGGCTGCCACCAACCACGCTGCCAGGCTCCCAGCCAGAGAGGGGCCTGCCTTGATTTCCTAGTTCAAGGTAGCTGGGACATGCAACCATGATGCATCTGGGGCTGCTGGCTCCTCCTGGGCTGCCACCCCGGTCAGTTTAGCAGGGACACCTGCAGTGAGTGATGCACCTTGGGTCGTGTGTTGTTGTTGCCAAATTTATGATGGGGGTTGGCATTAGTGAGTCACCCTTTAGGAAGACTGGGAGGTCAGACCTGTCTCCTGTACCAGGGAGGAGCACTGTGTCCCTCAGGGCCTGCAGCCATCCATGTCTCTGTGTGGGAGTGGGTGAGTGCGTGCACATGTGTGCTGCACTTGCTATTGACTGACATCCCAGCTCCCTGAGGCTCCTGAGCAAACACTGCCCTTGGTCTGTGGCCCCTGGAAGGACAGGGCAGCCTGGGCAGCACCATGGGGCTAAAGACCTCCTGGGGCTTCCCATGGGCAGAGCAGGCCAGGATGCTCAGCCTGGAGGGATGGGCTTATGTGAGCCCCCCGGGACTTCTCTTGATCTCTGGAGACTAGAACTGTGACAAAGTGTGGGTGTGTATGTGGGGGGGGGGGATGGGAGGCAGGGTGGCCTCTATTTCCCTGTAGGTCTTCTGTGGTAGAGTGTGTATGTGTGCATGCATGTGTGTGCATGTGTGTGTGAGTGACTGCATGTTTGTGTGTGCATGTGTGCATGCATGTGCGTGTGTTGTGTGAATGCATGTATGTATGTGTGTTCTGTGTGTGTGTGTGTGTGTGTGTGTGTCTGTGTGTGGCTTCTAGACGCAGCTGGCTTGGTGGGTTTTGGCCACAGGCTACAGGAAGTTGGACAGAGTCCCGATTGTGTCACCCTTGGACGAGGAGGATGAATAAACACGTCGCCTTCTCTGCAAGCAGAGCACGCCTTTCGTCTTGGAGATTTTCAGGGTTGCTCTGTCCTCCGGTTGATCCTCAGGCATCCACAGGCAGGTGGAGCTGCCTGAACAGTGAAGCCTGTGTTGGCTGGGCAGACGGCTGGTGCTGCAGCCGGTGAAGGTGGTGTACGGCCGCTGGCAAGTGGCATGTTGTCAGCCATGTTGGCCGCAGTGGTGCGAGGGTGGGCAGGATGGAAACGCTGACCTCTCCCAGCCTTCAGTCGAGTTCTGGAAGTCTGTGGACTGGGCGGAGAACTATGCTGTGCAGAATTAAGGGACTGGGATCACTGCAGTGAGAGGTGAGGGATGTAAGAACTTAGAGACCAGGTGAGAGCAGGTGCAGAGAAAAGGTGGCACCTGGGGAAGGGGCAGCGCTGGATGGGTGAGTGCAGAGTGAGGGCTGGGCTGGAACCTGTGCACCAGGGGTTTGGCCTGACCCAGCACGTCCGAGGCTCTGTTGGCTGCTTGTTATGTGGCATCAGTGAGTGGAAGCTGTCTTGCAGACTCCACTTAAGGGTCCCGGGCTTGAGTGGGTTGATTGGCTGTGAGTTTCTGTGGTCAGGGGACAGGGAGGGATGACCAGCTGTAGGAACAGAGGCTTAGATGAAGAGCAGGTTTAGAGGTACCTTTGACTTTTGGAGGGGCTCATGCAGCTGTCCAGAGAGGCCACCTGGGGTCATCGGTACAGGGCTCCAGCTGGCAGGGGCAGGCATCAGTAGGGGACGTGAAGAAGGTGGGCTCTGGTGGAGAGGACGAGGGGCAATAGGGGTTCCGGCCAATGCAGCAGGCTGTACTGCAGCCAGGTCTAGCACTCAGCTGCTGCAGAGATGCCCCTGCAGGGCAGGAGCCACCCTCGCATCCGGTCCTGGGCCCCTCTGCCCACTGCGCCTGACCAGTGTCTTCCGGGCTGTCCTCCACCACGTCCTCTTCCCTTCTCTAGAGATGTGGGCAGCATGGGCAGGTAAGGCTCTGACTGCTGCCCTCTCCTGTTCTTCCTCTTTCCGGCTGGCTGGCTGGGCAGAGCGGCTCAGGAGGAGGCCCAGTGTGGAGCTGCCTGGGGCCTGCCCTCATGGGAGCTGAGCCTGGGAACCTTGCCTTGGAGAGCAGTGTCTCCCCCCATTCCCAAGGAAGCCAGAGAAACCAGCCACACAAACTGGAGTCTGACCTTGACCTTCTGCTTCAGGTCCTCGTGGTTTCTTTTTTTAGTGCAATGGTCCGGCTCCAGCGGCTCTAGCTCTATTGAAATTGCTGCTCAACTGTTTGCCAAGGCCATGCCCCCACTCTTTCACCTGGAGCACTCTGCAAACGACCAGGGCTGCAGTGGGGGCGGGAAGGTGGTAGGAGCTGGAGCCTGGGGTGAGGGGGTGTCGTCTCTGCAGAGTACCACCGAGTCAGGAGGCTGGAGGCCTCCTCTGTGCCCAGGTGGTGGGCTGACCAAGTGCGTGGTGGCTTCTTTAGCAAGGCCCATGTGCGTACTCCATGCTTGAGTACATGAGGAGCTGGGGGCTGGCCGTGGAGCACCTGAGTGCGGCCTGATTGGCCCAGGTCTGGGGGAGCAGCCCCAGCACCCCATCCTCAGAGTTAGCAGTCTGTACTTGCTAGAGTCTTTATTTAAGATCCAGGGAGCACCTGGGGAGGAAGAGAATTGGCCTTGGGACCACCTGTGCTAGGAGAGGCCCTGGCCATCCCAGGTGCAGCAGAGCCATGAGGAGAAAGGCCTTTTCCAAGGTGGAGCTTAGGGAAGCTGAGGGTCATTGGTTCCCTCTTGGGAACTTGGCCTCGAGCTGGAGCTCTGGAGCGCGAGATTCACTGAGTCCAGACAGGAGGCATGGGGCTGGCGTAACTCAGGGTCAGTCGCCCCCCGGCTTGGCTTGGCTTCCCCAGTGGGCTCACTGCCTGGCTCTGCATCTCTCTCAGCAGAACGTGGAGCCAGAGCCCCGGAGCCTCTCGCTGGGTGGCCATGTGGGCTTCGACAGCCTCCCCGACCAGCTGGTCAGCAAGTCGGTCACTCAGGGCTTCAGCTTCAACATCCTCTGTGTGGGTGAGTGTCGTGGGGGGGCGGCCTCCCACACAGGACAGAGGAGAGCCCTCTGGGAGGTGGCACACTGCAGCCCTGACCGCCTGTCAGTTCAGCCACCAGGGGGTGCCCCAGGCACCATGAAGCATGGGAGGGAGGGGACGAGGGTTGGTTGGGGCCTGCCCAGCCAGGGCCTGATGCAGTTGTCAGAGAGTGGGCAGGATTCAGCACACGGAAGTGCTTCTGTGAGCTGTGGGAGCTTGCCTTGCAGATTTAACTTTGTTGTACAAACACTGACCCATTCCTGCTACGTGTTCAAGGACTCCGTGATGAGCACGTCACCACCCTTCCTCACAGTATCTCCACAACTCCAGCCCCACACAGGGGGCTCCACGAGACCCCCTGTGCTCTGCTGCAGCCTCCGTAGGTACCTGGGGGGAGGGGCCTGCCCTGAGCACCCCACTGCCTGGTTAAAACTGCCCAGAACTGGGGCATCGGGGCCGACGCTCCAGACCGCGTCCCTGCATGCTGCGCACCGGGCAGGAAGGGCCTGCAGAGGCTGGGTGGTGACCAGGTCCCCTTGAGGCCACCGGAGACCAATGTCCAGTGATGTCCCCACGGCCTCTGGGCCCTCCCTCTGCCCTTCCCTGAGGACACGTGTCACATGTCCCAGATGCCATGTCTGTGTCCAAGTCTTCCTGCTGGCTCACTCTCTGCACACTGTTTCTGAGACCCCCAGGGAAGGGTTTGAGGACAATGAGGTGTGGAGTGGGGGCCGTCCCTCTTTCCCGTGTGGCACCGAGGGTGCCTGCGCCCCACTCACCCAGCTGCCACGGAGGAGTCTGGTTCCAGCCTTTGGCTTCCCTTCCTGCCCTCCCTCCTGCTGCCCAGGGGAGACTGGCATCGGCAAGTCCACACTGATGAACACGCTCTTCAACACGACCTTTGAGACCGAGGAAGCCAGCCACCACGAGGCCAGTGTGCGCCTGCGGCCCCAGACCTACGACCTCCAGGAGAGCAATGTGCAGCTCAAGCTGACCATCGTGGACGCCGTGGGCTTTGGGGACCAGATCAACAAGGATGAGAGGCAAGAGGCGGGAAGGGCGGGGCCCCCCAGCCTCAGCCCATGCCACCCCCAGTGGCCACAGTTCCAGGACTCATCCCAAGCAGTCCTCACTGCCGGCTGCCCCGGCAGGGAGGCCAGGGGAGGGCGTCTGGGGGAATATCAGAAGCCCTGCGGCCTCTGACCACCCAGCTCCTCCTTGGAGGGGTCGGCCACCTGCACGCACACAGGGATCCTCAGACAGAGGCGGCCCTGAGCACCGGCCACGGCCACACGGCCGCCTCCCAGGTGATGGAGCTGTCTGTAGTTACAGGCCCATCGTCGACTACATCGACGCGCAGTTTGAAAACTATCTGCAGGAGGAGCTCAAGATCCGCCGCTCCCTCTTCGACTACCACGACACGAGGGTCCACGTTTGCCTCTACTTCATCACGCCCACGGGGCACTCCCTGAAGTCCCTGGATCTGGTGACCATGAAGAAACTGGACAGCAAGGTGCGGGCAGCCTCCTTGTCCCTGGTGTCCCCCGGTCTCCTGCTGTCACAGTCTGCTGGGGCTCCGCCTCTACGCTCACTGCCTCTCCACCCTGCGCCACTGTTCCTGCTCTGCCCTCCTCTCCCCTCCCTGACATGCATTCCCCGGGGTTCCCTCCAAGCTCTCTGCGCAGAGGAGAGTGAAGCCCCTGAATTGGAATGGGGATGGGGAGGGGCGTGGTGAGGGCAGAGGGAGCAGCTTCTCGAGGACATGAGGGAGGGTGTGGGTCCTGGAGGGCGCGTGATCCCATGGTCACCTGTCTGTGACTGCCCTCCCCATTTTCACTGTGGAAAGCAGGGGAACCTTGGCCTGGGGGTTCTGGACTCTTCCTGACTGCTGGTGGATTACCTTAGCTTTGTAGTGGGGAGCTCCGGCCCCTGCCACTGCTTCCTCAGGCCCCAGGCCGGTTAAGGCTCGCGAGAGCATTCTGGCTCAAAGCTGGGTATGCCCAGGGGGCCAGTAGAGGCTGGATCATGGTTTAGAGGACCCAGGGCTGTCAGGAGCACCACAGCTGATGGGTCCAGCCCATCAGAACCTCTGCAGGAGGCTGGGATTGGGCTGAGACTGCCCATGGGAGCAGCTCCAGGGACGTGGCCTGGGCAGGGCTGTCCACTGTCAGGGAGCCATTGCTCAAAATAACCATCTGCTGTCCCTGCCTCCGTCCCGGCAGGTAAACATCATTCCCATTATCGCCAAGGCGGACACCATCTCCAAGAGCGAGCTCCACAAGTTCAAGATCAAGATCATGGGTGAGCTGGTCAGCAACGGGGTCCAGATCTACCAGTTTCCCACGGACGATGAGGCTGTCGCAGAGATTAACGCCGTCATGAATGTGAGCACTGGCCAAGGGCCCCAGGCCTCCAGGACCAAGGGTGGGGAAGCTGGTGGATGTCACACATGGCTCCTGGAGACCCTTGCTCCCCAAGAATCCAGCCTTAGCTTTCCCAGGATGGATGGGTGGGCGTCTGAAGCCAGCCAGTCAGTCCTGTGTCCTGTGTCCTGTGGGCAGGGGACAGGAAGAATCGGTTATAGGAGCAGAGGGTTCCCCACGTTGGAGTGTCACACATGTGGGCACAGGGTGGGAGCCTGTAGGAGTGAGCAGGCCCGAGGCCTGGGTCTGGGAACCTGGAAGGGGTCCAGGCCCTCGGGGTCCTTTCAGGGTTCTCTGATAGCCCCTGGGGAGCCCAAGATCTGAGAGAAGCCCTCGGGAGTCTGGGGACACTGAGAGAGCAAGTCCCCTCAGGGAGAGTCTGGGACGCTTCTGCAGAGGAGAGCCGGGGAGCGCGGGTCTGGCCACCACCCGTGGGCCCTGGGGGCAGTGAGGCGGCCTGCTTGTCAGCCTGCGGTCAATTCGGCACTCATGGCACCCCGGGCCCCTTTCCAGGCGCACCTGCCCTTCGCCGTGGTGGGCAGTACGGAGGAAGTGAAGGTGGGGAACAAGCTGGTGCGAGCGCGGCAGTACCCCTGGGGCGTGGTGCAGGGTGAGTGTGGGGCTGCAGCCTGCAGCCTGGACGTGGTCCTTGCCCTGCCCTGCTGCCTGCAGCCCCCGTCCTCTGTCCTGCCTGTGCCTGTGCCTGTGCCTCTAGCCCTCTGCCTGCTGTCCTGTGCACGGTCCTGCCCTGGGCCCGTCGGCGTGCCCGCCTGATGTCCCGCGCGCCCTCCGTTTTCAGTGGAGAATGAGAATCACTGTGACTTCGTGAAGCTCCGGGAGATGCTGATCCGCGTGAACATGGAGGACCTGCGCGAGCAGACCCACACGCGGCACTATGAGCTCTACCGCCGCTGCAAGCTGGAGGAGATGGGCTTCCAGGACAGCGACGGAGACAGCCAGCCCTTCAGGTGAGCGCCTGCGCCGGCAGGAGCCCACCTCGGCCGCCAAGGGGCCTCGAGAGCCAGGCCACGAGGGCTGGGACGCTGGGACCCACGCGTGCACTTCTCGGGCCGTGCGGTGATCCCTCCCTTGGCCCCTCTTCTCTGGATCTCCGCAGCCTACAGGAGACGTATGAGGCCAAGAGGAAGGAGTTCCTGAGCGAGCTGCAGAGGAAGGAGGAAGAGATGAGGCAGATGTTCGTGAACAAAGTGAAGGAGACAGAGCTGGAGCTGAAGGAGAAGGAGAGGGAGGTGTGTGCTGGCCCCGGGGACGGGGACGGGGACGGGAGAGGCTGGCGGGGCTGGCGCCTCCCTGGCTCGTGCTGAATCCCCACCTGCTGCTCCCAGCTCCACGAGAAGTTCGAGCACCTGAAGTGGATCCACCAGGAGGAGAAGCGCAAGGTGGAGGAGAAGCGCCGGGAGCTGGAGGAGGAGACCAGCGCCTTCAGCCGCAGGAAGGTGGAGGCCCTGCAGTCGCAGGCCCTGCAGGCCACCTCGCAGCAGCCGCTGCGCAAGGACAAGGACAAGAAGAAGTAGGTGGCGGCCCCTTCTGCGCCGGCCCCTCTCCTGCCCTCAGGGCTCTGCTTCTGCTTGGCTCCTGCTCTCTCTCTCTCACCCCTGCCGCTCTCTCACTCTCTCTCCCTCCCTCCCCCTCTCTCTCTCTCCCTCCCTCCCTCTCTCCCTCTCTCCCTTGGTTTCACTCATTTCACTCTCTCGTCTCCACTGGTTCTTCTGCCTCACCATCTTTTTTCTTTCTCTTCTCTCACTTGTCACTGTGGAGTGCCACCGCCTGGGTCTCTCTGCCTCTCTGGTGACCTTGCACTCCCTCCTCCTCTTTCTCCTTCCCTCACTGGTTCTCCTGCAGCCGGGGCCTGTGGGCCACAAGGCAGGGTGCGCCCTGAGGCTGCAGCGGCAGGGATTCTCAGGGAAGGTCTTTCAGGCCAGGAGAGGGCCAGGGCCTTGGAAGATGCGTTTCCAGCGCAGATGCTCCTGTGGCGCCTGCCAGGTCAGCCACGGAGCACCTCTCCCATCTCTGAGGCCGGGGCTGCAGGACCCACCCGGCTGCAAGTGGTGACCAGGTGCAGCCAGCGCTGCCCCCGGGGATGCTGGTCCCCGTGTAGCTGGTCTGCAGGGCCTGTGGCTCTTTGCAGGGGCCTTGCTGTTTGCTGGGAAGGGAGGCTGCCCTCCTGGACAGGCTGGAGCTATTCCTGCCGAGGAAAGAGAGGAGAGGGATGGGGGGTGGCGAGGTTTGTCCCAGCATCCAGGAGGACGGTCACTTCCCTGTGGCCTTTTGTATCACCTGTCTCACCACTTTTAGCTGGGGTCCAGATGCCTGTCCCTGGGCTCTCCTCCTCCCCCACGCTTCATCACAGCCCATATCACACTCTGAGGGTCTCGTCTCTCCCTGTCCCTGCTCTTGGCTGACCCTCTCCTGCCAACCTGGGAGCTTAGCAGGTCCACCCGTGCTGGCCTTCTCTCTTGGGCTGCATTTCCTCCTGGGAGGTTTGTGGGTGTGGTGCCCAGGCCTGTCCTTTCTTGTTGGCAGTGGGGCCTAGGGGTTAGGGCTGTGAAGTGCTTAGTTAGCTGTGGCCTTGGGCTTTTGCTTGTGTCTTTAGCACCACTCCCCTCTGCACTGCCCCTCCCCACCCCATGTTGCATTCCCTAACATACACACACGGGTGTGTGCGTAGACTACCTGCCAACACAGCACAAGGTACACATGTGTGTGGAGACAAGCATGAGGGAGGGGCTTCTCCCGGCGGGAGAACGGGGGTGAGAGGCAGAGCCAGGCGTTTAGGAATGCCGTTCTCATCCCGAGGGCCTAGTGTCCACTTCGGGCAGGCCCTCCTCCTCTTTGTAGTCCCCCCATCCCAGTGCCCAGCGGCTGCTGCTGTGCTGGGTCACACGAGCCCTGCCTGTCCCTGGAGAGGACTTGGCCCCATGCTCCTCTCAGCTCCACGAGTGCTCCTCTGCCTCGGATTTACTTCCTGTCCTGGTCCCACGTCCAGCTCCTGGCTTGGCAGGTGTGGGCAGGTGTGGAACCTGGTGGCTCAGAAATCTGATTTCTACTGGGAGGGGACGGAGGCTAATGACCCAGGTGTCCCCACCCGAGTGACTGCTCTGCCCCCTGTCTGCTGGGCCCAGGCTGTCTTGTTTGGGAAATCCGCTGTGGAGGCACCACTCAGAAACTGAGGACAGAGACCTGTGGCCAGCCTCGGGGTGGCGGGGGGCGGGGGGGGAGGCTGTCATGGGTGTCTGGGCTCCAAGGGTCGCTTTCAGGGCCTGTTCTGTTGGCTGGAGCTGCCAGAAAGCTTCAGTGGGTTAGGCCCCTGGGAGAGGGAAGTCTCTCCTCCTGCCAGCCTCGTGGGGGCCAGGAGTGGGGTAGGGAGGGGAGCTGTATGCGGGCAGGGCACCCCTCCCTCCTGCCCTGGTCCAGGGAACAGGGTGAGTCAGGAGCGTGTTTGGGAAGGTGGGGAGACAGACATTTTTCATCTTTTAGTTGGGAGGCTTTGGCTGGTTGTACTTTTTCTTCACATTTTAATCCACTTTTGCAACATTACTTCCCAGTCAGATCTTGACCCTCAGCCTGGGACGCCACACACTGCTGCGAACTCTGTGCTTTGCTCCTCACTCGTGCCAAACTGACTGCCCTCTCCCCGTGTCCGTCTCGCTGCCTCCTGCTCGTTTGGTTTGGTCTGCTTGTCTTTTAATGTGTCTGTTTTTGTTTTGTTTGTTTTATTTTTATTTTCCAGTTAACGCACGCACAGACTGACGTGCCGAGAGCGGACTTTAGACTGTCAGGCGTTAATTTGCTTGAGTTAACGCCATGTGGCCCTTCTCCCATAACTTGGTGCGAGGACGGACTGGGAGCCGGTGCAGCCTCCAGGGTTCACAGCCTTGCTTGCGCCCTCGCCCCGGCCCCGGGCCGCCCTTGCGGCTGGCGGCCCACCCCTTTCTATGCAAACACGGAAAAGCCATGGATGCTGGAATCCAAAACTGACGAGGTTTATTTCTTTCAGAGCCAGTGGCTGGTCTTCCATTTACAGTGTCACTATTCCCTGACGGAGCCATGACGGGCCCCCCCTAGCCAAGGCCCCAGCCGACGATGCTTGGCCTGAGCAGTCGGCGTCGAGACGGCAGCTCGCGCGGGGCCCAAGGTGCGGCCGCCCCGTCTGGCAGACACGCTGCACACTTTGCCTGTCCCCCCCTTTGTTTTAATTTTGCTAACCTAGAGCTTGACTTCAGTAATAACTTTCCAATACTTCTAAGAAATTTTTTTTTTTAATTTGGGCACCAGCATAAGGATGAATAATATCCTCTCCGTTATTTTCATGAATAACACAGAGTCCCTGATTATTTTTAAAACTAAAACTATCTCTAAACCTTTCTCGTGTATAAAGCACCCCGCCCCCACAATAAACCTATAGGGAGAGGTGGGCAATAAACTTGCTGTGACGGCGGCGTTTGCAGTTTCTTTACGGATGACAGGGGCACCCGGACAAGCCCACGTGCAGCGTTTTTACTGTGAATGTAAATGGAACAGCAGCCTTCAGCCGTCGTCCGTGTGTCCCACAGGTGCTACCTATAACCAGGGAGCCGTCCCACGTGTGTGTTCAGTGTTCGCCTCGGGCCGAGAGTCCCAGGCCGGTCGTTTCTGCCGCAGAGGCAGAGGTGCTGGGGGGGGCGGGCCGTTGCCTGCAGGCCGCTCGCTCTTCTCTCCTGAGCTGTGGAGATGGAGGAGGCTGATGGACGCAGGCAGTTTCGGAGAGCTGCAGAGTGTCCTGTCCAGAAAGCGCCTGGGTGCTTCCGAGAGCCCTTGGAGAACGGAGTGGAAGAGATCACTGTTATCTTGGTGCAAAATACCCCGAGATCCATGCATAGTTTTTTCATCTTACTTTGGGAACCTTCTTTGAAGGCTTTGTGTGTGCATGGATTTCGAGGTTTTTGTTTTCGGCCTCAGAATAAGCGTGTTTTCACTCCGTTCTCCCCAAACGTTTGGAAGTACCCTGGTGCCAGCAGCATCACTTTTTCTATGCTCCTGTTTACAAGCGAAGGGTCACAGCCTGGCTCAGTGGGAGACGTGGAGACAAGGAGATGGGAGGAAGGGTGGCCCCCCACTCAGGTGCAGCACAGGCGACCTTGCTGGAAGCCCCCGGAGGCCGTGCTGACGTGGTGTTGGGTTACTTGTTTCCCCATCTTGCCAGCCCCAGCACCGTCTCCCGCTCTCTGCCTGGCCTGCCTATTGCTTCCAAGGACGGCAGATGTTTGGCTTGGAGGGAGGCGGAGGGGCGAGCTGTGTGTGGGCGTCTCCTGTGTGGGGGTCCCCACACCCCAAGCACAGCAGGCTCTGTCTGCACCCAGGCACTCCACCACAACCAGGAGGGGATCCAGGTTTTGTGGGGCTGGAAACCTGGACTATTTTGAATTATTTAAGAATATAAGATATGCATTTGGGAACAGGGCCTTGGAAGGGGCTCCGAAGAGGATGCCTCATTAGCTTCATGTTAAATCCACTTCTGGTTGGGATGGAAGGCAGATGCTTTGGTGTGGCTTGCTCACGAGGTTAGCCTGCATCTGGTCCTCAGGGTCGTCAGATGCCTGAGCGTGCATGTTCAGTTGGGTTCCACCTCTCTCGGCTCACATATGTGTGAAGAGGAGGCTCAGTGCCCCAGCAGGAGGACCCCTGGTCCATGGGCCAGCCTGGGGACGCTGCCGTGGGCAGGTTCTGCCCGCCGTCCCCTGCTGCCTGTGGGCCCGAGGCTTGCTCGCTTCTGCGGGGAGACATGGCATCCTCTGTGGTCCGAGCTGGCTCCTCGGGTGCATCAGCCACGGCAAGCCTCATCGCACCCCTCCCCTGCTATCTGTGTTTGGGATTTTGTTGTCCTGAGCTGAGACCAAATGAATCCTTGACTCACGAGGTGAGTTTAAAACTGGCCATTGTTTTGCAAGCTACCCTTCACGGGATGCGGTCCTGCTTGCAGGCTCCCGTGTAGCTCAGACTGGTTTCCGTTGGCTTTAGTAGGGTTGTCATATAGGGTCAGGTTGGCATCTACTCTCGTGAACTTCAGGAACCATGCTGGCTTGGAATAGAATCACCTTACAATTTACTGAAGGAAGTGTCCCCAGCAAACCAAGTCTAGTGGTTTATAATTGTGCAAACTGCATACATGTCTGTGTGTGTCTGTGTGTGCACCCCCTGTGAAGCGGGGCTCGCGTTCCGGGATCAGAGGCCCGAAGGAGGTGTGGCTTGCTTGTCTGTCACGTTAGCTTTTCTGAAACTGCTGCATTTGTTGACTCATTTATGCCTTCATTCATGGACGGTTTTGTTCTTTTCCATTCACTTTGTACTCCTTTTTGTTCCCCCATTAAATTTTGCATTTCTTTTGAGTTTTTACGGTGTCTTTTTTGGGCAGTAGCTTTTCTGATTAACAAGTGTCCTGAGCCTGTTGAGCCCCTCCAGCTGTAATACAAGGCAGCTTGTCTTTTCTGTGTCCTCTGTGGGGGTCTGCTGTGCTAGGAGCCGTCTTCCTAGCGAATCCTGCTGGGGACAGCAGTGGGAGGTGCGTGGGTGGGCGTGGAACAGAAGAAAGAGTCACAGTCAGGGAACAAAAGGTGAGCACAGAGCTCAGGCATCTTGCTGGGTACAGGCCTGGGACTTGTTCAAGAGGCTTGGCACAGGGTGGCTAGTATGTAGGTACTTCTTGTGTGCCAGGTTTGCTCTGAAGGATGTGACATGCATTATTAACCCTTCTAATCCTACGATTAAATACCACTGCTCTGCCTATCTTATGGGCGAGGCAGAGGGGTTAGATAATGACCCCAGTCACAAAGCATGTCGGGATTTGGACGCTGGTCGTCTGTACCCTGGATTCCTGAGCTACAGCTGGCTGCTTGGCATGCCATTGAGATGATGGAAGACCAGTATACAAGTGACAGTGGTGAAGGCTCTGACAGTGTGGGCTGGTGGACCTGAAATGGTTTTGTTGTGATGGGAAGCCCTGGGGGAGAGGGAAATGGCCGAAGGGCAGACACCTGGGTCCATTTGTTGAGCTTTGTCTATCTGCCATTAGGAAGATTCTGGAGAGACCAAAATGAGCCAATGGCAAGTGAGGTTGTGGAGCTCAACAGGGAGACTGCTATGAAGATACAGTTCTGCTCCACCTGTGGGAGGCAGGGAGGCAAAGTCTTTAACCAGCTTTGGAGGGCAGTTTCCAGAAAGATGGGGAGAAGGGCCTCCCTGGCTTGCCAATTTTGGAGAAGTAACTTCTACAAGTTTAAGTAAGGCCTGTGATGGTCTCACCCCCGAGCCTGCCTAGCCCCTTGCCAGTGCACCTGCCTTGGGGCTTCCTTCCAACTCCACTCTGCCTGGTCCTTCAGCAATCCCTGCCCAGGTAGGGACATCAGGAAGATGGACCGTGTCCCTGTTTCTCCTGCAACGATCCTGCACCTCTGATCTAACGTGGGACCTGAGACCCCAAGGCAATCTGGAACAGCACCCCAAGACACTGCATACTCACAGGCAGCACCTGGGCACTACTGCAGCAGATTCACAGCAAGGGGGAGCACCAAGGCTGCTCCTTATCCTGCTGCTGAGGCTCACGGCTCTGCCTGCTCCTTTTTCCAAGGGTTTGAGAGTTGCATCAACTCTGGGGACCTGGCTCACATCTAGAGCCGTGTAGTGAAGAGGCCCAGAGGCTTCCAGGCTGTCTTCCAAAACCTGAGACAGCCTGAGTTCCTGTGGGCCCCCAGGGTGAGCTCCCACCCCACCTGCTACAGTGCCTACTGGTGCTAGATAAGCGGCGGCTGAGGGCAGTGGGGCCCACCACTGGGAGCTGTGGCTGGGAGCAACCAGCCCCCCAGCATGTCCACCGCAAAGATACTGGACTTGGGGATGGGAGACAGTGTTCCCAGCACAGGTCACTCCAGCCAGACTAAGCACATGGGATCCCATTTGCATCACCAACAATTAGATACTATTTTCAGACATTCCAGCACACAAATTTGTGTCAAAAAAAAAAAAAAGAAAAAAGCAGAGGCGTGTGCTGAGAACCAGCTGCTCCTGGGCCATGTGCGCCCCCGCCCAGCACATCCATGAGACAAGTGCTGCAGTGGGAAGATGTCCCACAGCACTGCTAGACGTGCCCCACAGCCATTCAGATCCCTGGCCCTCCTTACACAGCCCCAGCTGGCATCCTTGGCAGCTGCATGCCGCTGCTCAGAGGCAGCTCTGTAGGCCCCGGGCATCAGAGAGGCAGCTGGCTTCCCCCCAAGGCTTGAGGGCAGCCTCCTTCTGCAAGTACAGGGCGTGCAGCAGGCTGGGCCTGCAGACCTGCTCATTCCAACAAGCAGCTCCTGGAGCTGTGCCTCCCCTAGCAGGTGTTACCCTGCGCACCTGTTTGTTACACTATTCCTCATCACTTGGGCTACTTGGCTGAGATGTGCTCCAGTTACTGCACATGCAATGAAACACACTTTGACTTGCAGTCGTTGTGAAGGAAGACCCAAGCACTGGGCGTGTCAGGGTAGAGGGGCTCAGGGACTCCTGTTCCTGGGGCTGCAGCCAGGGCAGACGGGCCTGCAAGTGGCCAGGAGTCTGGGGGAAGCCTAGCAGGCAGAGCAGCAAGAACCGGTCAGTCAGGGGTAGGGCCCTGAGTCAGCCCCACTTCCGGCCTCACCTTCCAGCTCTTAGGGGCCAATCCCGGTCCTTGCTGGAAGAAGGAAAATCAAGGGCAGTTTGGGCATCCATACATTTATTCTTTCATTCTCTCTAGTTTTGGGTCATGTGCAGACACAGGGGAGGCTGGGCCACGGTCCAGCAGACCATATGTAAGCTGTACCAGCCCTGCCCCCTGCTCTTCTAAGGGTTCAGCTGGGAACTGCTCCTCAGCTGCTCTTCTGGGGCCCTCTTGCCTTCTGGTTAGGGGACTCACGAAGGCCAGAACTCGGAGGAGCTCAAACACGGAGGCTCTGGCTGTGCTCTGCCCATGCAGGGGCCGCGCAGGTGGACCAGCAAGTCTGTGCAGGGGGGCAGCTAGAAACTCCTCAGCTGCTGCCTGACGAGTTCTTTGCAGGGCACGTACTGCTCCATGCTGACCTGTGTGAAAACAGAACGGTCACCCTGGAGCAGGAGCATCTTAGTCCGTATGAATAGGCAGTGGGCTGCCACCATGTGAATACAAAGCCATCAGGAGGGCCTGATGGCCCAAAGCATGCGTATTAACCCCTCCATCTCAGGGACCTCTGTCTCCTTGGTAACTGCCAGTGGTCTAACCATGCATCACCTCTAACCTATCTGTCTGGGGGTGGGGGTATAGATTCTGACTGCCCACCCTCTCTCCTTCCCTTCACCTGCCTCAGGACCCGCTGGTGCCTGCCACATACACTCGTACAAAGGGGGAGGGGTCTGGGTTGATATTTCTGATATTAAGCTCAGAGGCACTTCCTCCCAAGCTGAACATACTCCCACTCCCCTTGAATATCAGGGCTGCCATGGAGAAGTTTGCTGTCAGAGAGTCCCCTCCCCACCACAGTGGTGGGAGCCTGTGTCCCATTCCCAAGTCCACAGAGCATGGCACGTGTGGGAAGCATAGGCCTCAGGCAGACTTTTCCCAGAGCTGTCACAGCCAGATCATCTTCTGGAGCCCAACAGGGCCAAGGAGGGCCACGGGAACCCTTTTTGGGGGCAGAGTGTGTCGGCGAAAGGGGCACAACTCGGAGCCTGGTCTGGGGCGAAGTTGATGTCTACCTGTGCTTTCTTTAGCAGATCAGATATAGGAGTACAGCAGTCGGGCCTGAGCCTCTCCAACTCTAAGGTGATGATGACCAAGGCCAGTGTGGAGCCCTTGAACTGCAGCAGCTGGTGGCCGGCCATACAGTGCTGCAGCTGCCTGGTCAGGGACGCGACGTGGAGGGAAGGATTCCTCTGAGGCAGCAGCTCCATCACTTGGGGCCAGCTCAGAACCACCAGGGCGTGGAACTGGAGACCATGATTTTTAATGTTAGAACAGAAAACCCCATACGTTTCCTATGTCAATGACCAAAAGTGCACACAACTTAACTTTCCATCAGGGAGCACCAGATGTTGCCCAACCCTCTCGATTCTCATCCATGGCCCCACAAGCGTGGGGCAGGGTGTGGGGATGAGGCTTAATGCCCATGTGGCCAGAGAGAGCTTGCTTTGTGACAGGGTCATTTTGAATTTAAAGTACCTAGCCGACAATGTTTCAATCCTGAAAAAAAAGAAACATGTTATTCAAGATCCAAGTGGCAGAAAAGGTTACTTGTATCAGCTTGAGGAGAGAAGAAACTGGGGCTTGACAACAGTGGCCAGTCTTCAAGTCAAGCAGCCCTGGGTGATTTTATCCTCCTGCTTCCAAACAGACCAAACCCTCATGGCATTTCCACATTGCATAATTTTGCCTTACTAATAGAATCATATCCCTACAGATGCCATCATCCCCCCCAACAAACACAAACTAACGTATGATATTTTTTTAAGTGCCGGATCAATATGGTCTAAAGCGTCCATAAGGATTGTGTGTAGATGAATCGAGACAGCTAAGTGAATGTGTGTAAAGTGAGCAAGAGCAGATAGCTATTTATGTACCATAGTCACAGAATGCAAAGTGAAATATTTTTGCAGTGTGTATTCAAAAGAGAAATTCACCATAGTAGTGCCGTCTAAAAATCTTTGTAAAGTTAACGTCCTCTTGAAGCGGGAGTTTGGTGTTGGACTCGAGACACATTTTCACTCTTCTGTACGTCATGGGCCTTGTGGGTCACCTCTGTGTGGTTCATGTGCGAGGACCTGTGCACGCCTGTGCTTGGCCGTCCAGTGTGTGAACAGCTGTTCCAAAGGCACAAATGAGTCTAAGGCAAATTCTGTAAACTCCTTGTGCTTACCAGAGTCAAGAAATCCAGTGGCGTGGCGAGATACAGGTCCCAGTGCAGTCTGTCCAGAATAGCCAGCTCCATCCTCAGCAGCTCACTGGGGCTATAGCCAGAGCCATAGTGCTTTATGAAGTCTTTTACATGTGGAATTAACTGTAAAAAGAAAATAAAGAGGCCAAAGCCCTACACCATGTCATAGTAGCTTCTGTTTTCTTATCCATGGGGACCGGGCGTCCACGACCTTGGCGCCATGGCCCTTGGGGGTCTGCCGGACAAAGTGCTTCTCAAAGCCAAACCAGATGTTACTGTCACATCCCCCAGGGAGTTGTGACAACCTGCAGTGACTGTCCCATGGTGACCCTCTGCTAACAGGTCTTGATCCCCAGTTGCATGCCAGCACATACCCCAGGATGCTGTGGGGGCTGAGGCTGTGCCCCTCCCCTGTTCTGAAGCTCTCCAGGAGCTGTGGGCTCTGCCCATCTCTGATCCTCATCCTG